CCTCCAGCTGTCCTGACTCCTCCAGCTGTCCCCCGAGTCCTCCAGCTGTCCTGACTCCTCCAGCTCTCACCTGAGTCCTCCAGCTGTCCTGACTCTTCCAGCTGTCCCCGACTCCTCCACTTGTCCCTGACCCCAGCTGTCCCGACTCCTCCCCTTGCTTCAGCAATTCCTGATATGGGTGTCTTCCCCACTAGAGTAGTATACTTTTGGTGTAAGAATGAAGCTATCAGCCTGGCCCCAGGACAGAGCTGGTCCCCTGGAATCTGAGCGTGGAGCTGGTGGTCCTGGCTCTGCAAGGTGGGCCGTGCCACCTGAGACCTGGGCCAGGGATGAGCTTCTCATTGTCATTCTCACGTAGGAACACACACCAACCTTCAAGGCCACCCCTTCCACTGTCATGGCCCCTGGGGCCTGCCTCACAGCACCGTCATCTCAGAACTCTCTGTACACTCTTGTTTAATCAACGTTGTTGATTTAATTACTGCTCACTATTCTCTTTCCTGCTAGAACATAGCTGCAGGAGAGCAGGGACCAAGAGCCTAGTGGAGTGTCTGCACATAGCCGGTGCTCTGTGATTAGCTGCTGGCTGGCAGACAACTGGACATCTCCAAAGGGTCCCTCATGTGTCATGAGAAACAGACAGGGAGGGGCACAGGTCCCCTGAATCAGTGTGCAAACTTAGGTCTGCACACTGTATGTGCCGGGACTGCCGGTTTCCTGCCTTCATGCCCTCCCCTGCCTGGGCCCATACCTGCCATGATGTTCTCCACCACGGACACGAAGTAGGCAGGCTTGCTGAAGGTGGGAGGGTTGTCATTCTCATCCTGGAAGGAAAACAGAGAGGTTGCAGGAACCAAAGAGGCAGTTGGGGCTGGTCAGCTGTCGCAGGCTGGCACCAAGGGGAGGCTGGGCACAGCTGGCTGAGGAGCTCTGGCCTCAATGTATAACCAGAGCCACATGGGGTGCCACGAGAGGGCCAGGTGCCCCTCCGGCTGGGCTACAGTTAAAGAAGGCAGGACAGGACTTGGGGAAACACGTGGGCATCGGGAAGGGATGGTGAGGGCCAGGGAGATGGAGAATGAAGGCAGCACTTGGAACTGCCTACAGCTCTCGCCCCCTTGGCTCCCCCCATCAGTCCTCCAACTGAGCTCCAAGCTTACTCCAGTTCTGCCCCGCTCAGCTCATAAGCCCCCATGCTGGGGATGCCCACCCGGAACCTCCCTCCCAGCTCCACCAAGACGATGGTGGAAGGTTCTAAGAGCCCTCCTAGAAGTGAAGGGAGAAAGGAGCACTCCAACCCAGAAGTATGCAGTGGCAGGTGGGGGTCAGGTGTTCCCAGAGCCTGAATTCTAGAACCCTCCACACACAAAAGAACAGCTGCTCCTCTGCCCCCCTGGGCAAACCCTGGCTCAGAACCTACCACCTCCAGTTCTGGAGCAATCCCTCCTCAGGCCCAGTCTTCTTCAGCAACCAGGCCAGAGGGACAATGGTCAGTGGCCATGGGCTGAACTGGCAGGCTGGGGCCCAGGAGCAGCCTCGGCCTCCTCCAGCTCCTCCACATGCTATCTCCCTCCTCCACAATCAAGGGAGACTTTCCTACCCTTTAAGACTCCCACACGCACCAACTGCCTTTTGCAATCACTCAGCAAGAATTCCTGCCTGTTCCCCACTTGGAGGAAGCCTCACTGGCCCACCTGACTCAGAGCTTTTTCCCCTTTCCCAAGAGCCCTGTGCAGAGCTCAGGGGTCAGCCTGGGTCACGACCCCCTGGGGAGTCTTTAGGCTGCAGTCTTCAGGGGTGCATGCTCTGAGGGCTTCATTTCCCCCAGGGAACTGGGAGCTCTTTGAGGGGAAGACTCCTGGAGTACGCCTCTTTTGCTGGAGTTACGTCTGGCTGAGCAAGCATGAAAAAGGCCGGCATGCTACCTGGCCATCCACCCCTTGGGACTTCAGAGAATTCCATCCTGCAGGGACCGTGGGTGCCCAGAAAGGAATGCTCTTCTTTTTCCCCAATCTGGCCCCTGGCTCTGGACTGCGCACCAGCTCCTGCTGACCTGTTCTCTCCCAGCCTCAGAGCACTGGCGGTGTGAGGACTCACTTGACGTCCAACACCCCGACAGCAGGCCTGGGCACGCCCCTGGCGCGGGCATGAGTGCCCCATATACGTGTATATTTAAGCCTTCTGCTTGGCTGCACGCAACGGCGCCGAGAATGTCAGTGACAGAGCATGAGGCAGAAACTTATTAGCGGTGATATTTCCCCGGATCCTGGTGCCGCATTCGCTATTAGTTCTAATTCAGCAGCTCCCTCTACAAAAGCTTATTGTCCCCTAATGGGAAATCTACAAACCGAGTTTGACTTCTTTATTAAAAACCAACAAGCAGTGGATGAAAAGGAATCACCTGGCCCCTGTCGCCGGCCCCCTCCTCCTTCCAGATCCCTGTCGCTTTGATCTGCCTCTCCCCACCCCCAACCTGGGCAGTAAGTACTGCCATCAACTACTTCATCTCCGCTGGGTTTTTTTTTTTTTTTTTTCCAGTTGAGAGAAAATCCTTTTTGTGGAGAGAGGAGGCAGCCCAGTCAAGTGACAGCTACTTAAAAATCACCCACGTGCAAAATCCACCCAAAGGCGGTGACCTTTTCAAGTGTGGTCCTTAGACACAAGTGACTACACAGTCTGAAAGCCCTGCTCGGGAGAGGATGCTCACTCACAGCCCAGGCAGCACCCGTCTCTGTTGCCTGACCCTCCTGCTGCCAGGGGCCAGGGTGGACCCGGAAGGAAAGTGCAGGGCCACTGCTGACCACATGGCAGCTCTGAGGGAATCTGAAAACAACGCCCCTTCTGCTGGGCTGAGGTGGCTCCATGCCAGGGAACACCCCGGCTTGCTGAGTGGACAGCGAGGTGGATTCCTGCCCCCACACCCCCCGCACATGGAGACCCCGCTCCTTGGTATCAGGGAGGGAGGCTGAGGCTGCCGGCCACTCTTTCATTCACAGCAGATGAAAGGTGGTTAGTTCGGTCCCTTGGCCTTCCTCTTCCTGCTCGCTCTGGTTCCATTCGAGGGGCTGAGGCAAAAAGAGAAAGAGGCCCTCCCCGGGTCCCTTTCTTAATTGAGCCGCAAGGTGGGAAAGGGACTGGGGTTTGGGGCAGTCCCTGGGTTTCCAGATCCGCAGATCTTTGAAGGCCTTGTTGCTCCAAGTGTGGTCCCTCGACCAGAAGCATCAGCATTGCCTGGGAGCTGGTGACAAACGCAGTCTCAGCTCTACCTTAGATGCGCTGAGTAAGAATTTGCATTTTAAGAAGATTCCCAGGGAATTCACCTGACCTTTGAGGAGTATTGGTCTCGATCACGTGCAGATAGGGATTTCCAAGGCTCCAGGCCCAGGGGTGTGGTGGAAAGGATGTGAACCCAGGAGTCAGACGGGTCAGGGTTCAAATCCTAGTTTACTAGGATTGGAAGTAAATTCAAATGCCTCTTACTAGCCAATAAGTGAGGAAGGTGTGACCTTGGTGACCTTGGACCAGCTCTGTTCCCTCCCTGAGCCTCAGCTGCCTCATCTGTAAAATGGGACTGAGAGAGACTGCATAATGTGAGAGCACCTGGCACACTGTCAGAGCTCAACAAGTTTTCATTTCCATTCAGCCAATTCTGCCTGCCCATCCGTGGGCTGGTGCAGAACACCTCAACCTATTTCCCTAAACCTCCCCTAGTCCCACCCTCTCCCTCGTCCGCTTCCTCAAAGCCTAGAGAGGGTCCTTCTCTGCCCAGCTGAGTTCTTGGAACTCCCATTTGCACTAGCGACGGCCCGGGGCATGGATGCTGCTGATGGTATGCATGTCTGCCTTATCAGCTGTGATGACAGCCGAGTGCCACCTGCGTGATCTCTTTTAATCCTCATGACAATATCACGAGGCAGTTCCATGATTATCACCATTTTGCAGATGAGGAAACTGAGGCTCAGAGAGGATAAGAACCCCAGGTCACACAGCTAGAGGGAGGCAAAGCCATCTACCTCCAAAGCCATGCTCCCTCCTCTATTCAGTGTCTCCTTGGCCGGGGCGGGGTGGGGGAGGGCAGGCTTCACAGTCCCCTTCACATCCCTCCAGGACCTGCTACTGCACCTTGAGCACGGGAGGACTTTGCCGCCTGCTTGAGCAGCACAGGGTGGGGGCTGTTTGAAAGTGATGGGTCAGCTGGTCAGGGTTATGAGTGAGGCCGGGGTTAGGGGAGGTTAGGCTGTGGTCAAGACTGGGAAACCAAGGTCAGGTTTGGGAGATGCGGTCAGGGCCGGGGCCATGTGGGCCAGGACGTGGTCATTACCAGGAACGGTCAAGACCAGGACTGATTGGCAGGGGATGCATTCTAGCTCTTTGCTAGAATCACCCGTGGTCCGTCACGGTGGGAGGTAGCGGGTTAAAGGTAGACAAGTGTCCAGGCGTCTATGCGTCTCCTCTTCTCTGTCCTTCTCCCCTGCCACTCCCTGAAGCCAGAAGTGCCAGATGAAGGCCCCAGACTCTCTGGCCTTCCCTTTGCTGGACCTGGCTCTGCATGCCACTCCTAAATTCCACTCCCACATGCCCATCTGCGGGGCTCCCTCCCAGGCATCTCCCTCGACTTTTCCATCACTGCCAGCCCCACCCTGTGCAGCAAGCAATAGGGTCTCCTGCCCAGACGAGGTCCCTCCCATCCGGGAGGTGGCCCTGGAGCCTCAGCCTTGGGTTGAGAGGACAGGTGTGTTAAAGCCAGCTGTGGGGCAGCGCCAGAGGCTGTTGGCGAAGCCAGCTGGGACAGCAAGGTCATCCAGCAAGCCTGTTCTGGGCGAGATTCTCCTGAGCGTTATGTCAAATCACAGCGTATCTGCTAACGTGACAATCTGATCTAATCCTCCCGGAGCCGGTAATGTACTAACTCTTCCATCAACACACGTTCACCCTCTCCTGCAGGCAGCAGCCTTTATGAGGTGGGGGGTCAGCTTGTGCGTGCGCAATAGGGGTGGTCTCGGGGGGAAAGGCCCGCTGGCCCGCTGTCAGACCACAATCTGCCTCCCGGGATCGCTGGGGGAGCAGCACGGGGCAAATGAAGCAGCGTGGAGATGGATTCGGTGACTGATAATTTCAGACACAGAAGGCACTAAGGTGTGGTTGATATTCGTGTCAGACAAGCTGTGGTTTGGTTTCAGGCCCCTTTGGATCTTCAGAGGAGCGGAAAAAAGGAGCAAAAAAGGAAGACGAGGATAGAGAGAGAGGCAGGAGAGAGAAGATGACCTTCAGGAATTCCCTTGAACTTCACAGAATGTGGCTGTACATGAAGGAATCCCACATTTCCTCCCTGCTTGCGCCCCAGCTCCTGCGCCCTGTCCGAGGGTGTCCTGAGGCCCCCGAATGAGCAGGACAGCCTGGCTCTTCCTATGTTCCAGGGCCCTGGACCTTCCGGCCAAGCTGGGAGGCAGCTTGGCTGCTGCAGCAATGGCAGAGGTTTGCTAGTGGGCAGCCTCTGGGACAGTCTGCCGGGCAACTCCCAGAGCTGTGGGGACAGCCAAGGATGTGGGGACACAGGGTTCCGGCAGGTCCCCCACACTCTGGGAAGCACTCACCACCCCTCAACCCCGGAAGGGCAAGGCCACACCCCTGGGTACTTACAAACACCTCAATGGTGACGGGGACAGTGCTGTTCAGAGGGGGGTTGCCAGCGTCCTTGGCCATGACCGTCAGATAAATCAGCCCATTGGCTATCTGTTCATAATCCAGGGGACGGCTCACACTGATCACTGAAACGACAGGAACAGGGCCCCAGCCCCTTTGTAAGCAGCCTTTACATGCCCAGCCGGCCAGCGCTCCGCTGTGGGCAGCTGACATGAGCCGGGCCAGCTCTGCCTCGTTGTCCCCTCCTGCCTCTGAACTCCTAGAGCCTCGTGGTCTGGACTTAGGTTTACTGGTTGTGTGACACTTGCCAGGCCCAGTGCTGAGCCTGCCAGGTGGTAACTATTTGGTGGCAATGTAAGCCCCGCCAGATGAAGAAACCAAGCTTAGAGAGGTTCAGTAACTTGCTCAAGGTCACACAGCTAGCAACTTGATAGAGCCGATGTTTGAGCCAGGTTTGTCTGAATCCAGAGCCCTGGCTCTTCCTCAGAAGGTGCTACTGCCTGCTTGTCTGTCTGTCTGATCCAGTCATCTAGCACTCCCCCATCAATCTGGAAGCTGCCTGGAGAACAGCGTCATGTCCCAGGCTCTCCAGTCCTGTTCCTGTTCCCACTCCTGATCCCCTCCAGATAAGCACCGAGTCCACCCATTTATTGCCCAGTGTCGGGGTAGCGGGAGGTGGTGCAGGCAGTGGGGTGCAGAGGGCAGCTCCCTCCTGACTCCCCTCTGGCCCTGTCCTTTTCTCTCATCGCCTTTCTCCCCTCTTTTCTTTTCGCTCTCCCCTCCTCGCACTACCCCATGGGCTCCTCGTGCCTGCCCAGTGGCCGGCTCTGGGCACTGTTTGGACCCCTTGGGCGGACACTCAGGGTGTGGTGTTGCAGACTTTACCCATAGCAGAACTTCACTGGAAGGTGGGCGAAGACCTTAACACCAAAGGCAGACAGAGTGGAGAGGCAGGACTGGGGGAGCCAAGAGAGCCGCCTCAGCCCTCAAATGTCCCCACCACGGCGCACGCCAGAACTCGCACTGTTAGTGCTCTGGTGCTAGGCCATAGGTCTCAATTCTGGGAGGGAAGGCATATTGGCTTGGGAGTGGGGGGCACGGGTAGTCTGCGAACGCATTACAACAATATTAAATTGCAACTTTCTATTTGGAAAATGGAAACAAAGCTATTGCTTTAGTAATATGAGACCTAAGGAGGGTTCTTCCAGCTGAGAAGAGGGTGAGGTGTGCGGGTGGGCAGAAGCAGGAAACTGCTCAGGTTTTTAAAGGGGGGAGCATAGATTTATAGAGAACATTGGGCTGTAGCATTCAGAGTCAGGACTGCAATTTCTGCGACTGCATTTCTCTGACACAACTGTGGGGTGCTAGGAATGAGCACTGGACCCAGAGTCATCCAATGCACATCCATTCTGCCTTGGGGGCACCTAATCCATCTTCAAGCATTAGGGAAGCTTCCCAGAGAAAAAGATGTCCAAATGAGCCCTTAAAGCTACCCAGAGGTTAGAGGGAGGCAGGACAAAGGAACAGGGAGGAAGTGCTTTCCTGGCAGAAGGAAAAGACTCTACAAAGACATGGAAGTGGCCACTGTAAGGGGAGAGAGCATCAAGGGGTTCAAAGAGGCTGGATTCTAGCTGGGGGAGGAGGGTGCTGAGAGACAATGCTGGAGAGGCAACAAAGAATCAGATCACAAGGGCCTCACTTGGAAGCTTTGCTGTGTGACCTCAGGCAAGTTGCTCCCTCTCTCTGGGCCCTAGTTGCCTTGTCTGAAAAACAAGGTTGTCTTGGGATCTTGGAGCTTGAGGTTGCTGCTGTTATTCCCTGCCGGGCTCTAGGGATTAGGACTCACAGTGGGGCAGGCAGGGGCTGGTCTAGAGTGCAGAACTGTGCCTGGGCCAAGCAGGGAACGGCCACAGGCTAGGAGGGCTGGGAAGCGGCCATAGCGTGGCCAAAGGATGGGGAAACTCGGCTAACAAGCCTCCACCCCATAGATCTGCCCAGGCAGCCTTGGTAAAGAATAGGGACCCCTCAGACTGTGGTACCATCAGATGCTGGGCTGGCCATGGGCCTAAGACCCAGAGAAAGAGCCAGCCGATCTGAGATACAAATCTGATCCTACAGAAGGGTGACCCCAGGCCACGTGCCGCTCCAGCTGACAGGAGCTATGGAGCAGTTTCCCGAGCGGTCCAGGGTGTCTGGGAGACAGAAGGGCCCCTCCTGAGAGGTGCGAGTGTGCAGCCCTGCTCCCGCCTGCCCACCCTCCTGCCCGGGCTGGGCCCTCAGGTCTACCCGATACGTACCTCCATAGCCCTCATACAAGCTGATGTCGAAGTAGCTGCCAAAGGCGGAGGCATTGACGATGCTGTAGGTGATCTGGTTGTTGGGAGGGGAGTCTTCATCTGTGGCCTGGGAGGAAGAGGGTGGACAGGGCACCGTGATCCCTCAGCAGGCTGGGGCCAGAGAGGGTAGGTGGGAGGGGAGGACTGACCCCTCTCAGAGCCCTCTGCTTTGGGTGACCCAGGATCTTCTTGTCCCTTAGCTGGAGGCCACTCTCTGGCTCCCAGGAGACACCCTGCTCCCCTCCCTGCTGGGGTGTGGAGGAAGCCTGGGAATCTGAGGGCAGGCTAGAGGCCTACAGAGAATGAGGGAAGACCAGGGTTCCCTGAGGATAGAGAGGGGCTCCATCATACCTGGCATGACTGTCTCCGAGACCTTTCAGTCCCAGCTCGAACACTCCACCCACAGAGGCCTTGCCTGACCTCTTGACTGGGTTGGGGCCCTGTGCTGTGCACCCCATCAGTGCCCCTACCTGACTGTAACTTCTTGTTTAATATCTGCCTGCCTCACTCAGCCCGTCAGCTCCACACGACCGGGAACCTTATGTTTCTTGATTGCTGCTGCATACCTAGAGTCCAGCACAGTGTTTGGCACATAGTAGGTGTCTAATAAGTGCATGCTGCATGAATGCAAGGAGGGAAGAAGGCACTTGGAACGGGGTCAGGGATCCTTCTTCCTCTTGACTGTCTTCTGGGGTGGCTGAATTAATTAGCTTCTTCCCAGATGTCTCTGACCCTAGAGAGCCCCAGGGGCATCCCACCACTCTGGGTGTAACCCCTGGGTGCAGGAAGGGAGGGCAGGGTCCGATGGGAGCCATGGCCATGTTGGGTGGGCACACGGTCCTGTCCTCTGTGTATCCCCCATGCCAACCACCGCCACCTTGTCTTTGTCCTGCCTCTGCCAGAAACAAGTTCTAAATGGAGCTCTGGGTGGGCAGAGTGGGGAAGGGGTGAGAGGACATTAGGAAGTCTCTGGTCAGAGGTCACCGGAGCGTGGTGGGGACACATTGCAGGAGGCCACCTGGAGTGTGGAGCCCCGAGTTCCGGTCCTGGCTGACTATTCCACTAATTCCCTGTGCCTTCTCGAGCCTGCCTCTCCCCTCCGCTTCCCCTTCTGTGAAATGGGTTGTGCCCACGGCCTCTGGTTCCTTCCAGCTGCAGCACTTCCTGATTCTAAGCAGCCACTAAAGGGCCTGGATGGGGGTCCTCACACAGGGGACTGCTCGGCACTCGCCACGGGAGATAGGGGGGTGTCCTTTTGCTGAATGGAGACCTGAAGTTTAAGCTGTGACAGATACTAGCCCCACTCAGTAACCAGGGACATGAGGTGATGCTCAGAGGTGGCCCAACACTGCCAAGAACGTGACCCGAAATCTGAGCAGAGTTCTCTGTGGACGGGAGGTTAACGCCTCTTGGGTGGTGAAGAAGAAGGCACAGAGGGAAGGGTCAGATGAATGGCCGGCCCGCAGGACACGCTGGCATCTCACCCGGAGCCGCACCAGCTGTGTGACAGAAGGCTCATTCTCTCTCAGGGCACCCACATAGGCATCCTTCTGGAAGGTGGGCACGTTGTCATTGACGTCCAGCACGTTGACCCTAACCCGGCCTGTGGTCTCCTCGCCGCCCCCGTCCCGGGCGATGAGCGTCAAGGTGAAGCGCTGGATGAGCTCGTAGTCCAGTCTGGCAATCAGCATGACAAGGCCTGTGTCCTTGTCCAGAGAGAACCTGTGTCAGGCAGGGAGGAGGGAGAGAAAGGACGCCCTGGTTTAAAGCAGGCTTGTAGATTAGGGCCTGCGTTTACCAGGGTGATGAACAGAGAGAAATGGGTCAAGTCTGAAATCTGCCTTCTTTTTCACTTGCCCTAAATAAGAAAAGCAGCTATTTCTAATGCAGAGTGGGGTGGGAGGTGGTGGGCAGGGATCAGGACCACGTGAGGGGTGGAGCTGTCAGGCGCCAAAAGGGCAGGAATAGGTGGATTTAATCAGAGGAAATTCAGGTAGAATGAGCCTCCTCTTGCTGTGAACAGGAGTTTCCGCCTACTAGAGATATTTAGATGTTGAAGAACTGTAATGGTCAGAAATTCCTACAACTGATACCACAGAAATACAAAGGATCATAAGAGACTACTATGAACAATTATATGCCAACAAATTGGATAACCTAGAAGAAATGGATAAATTCCTAGAAACATACAACCTACCAAGAATGGATCATGAAGAAATAGAAAATCTGCACAGACTGATTACTAATAAGGAGATTGAATCAATAATTAAAAACCTCCCAATGAAACAAAAGTCCAGGACCAGACAGCTTCACTGGTGAATTCTACCAAACATTTAAAGAAGAACTAATACCAATCCTTCTCAAACTCTTCCAAAAAACAGAAGAGGAAGAAACGCTTCCAAACTCATTTTACAAGGCCAGCATCACCCTGATACCCAAACCAGACAAGGACACCACAAGAAAAGAAAATCACAGGCCAATATGCCTGATGGACACAGACGCAAAAATCTTCAACAAAATACTAACAAACTAATTCAACAGCACATTAAAAGGATCATACGCCATGATCAAGTGGGATTTATCCCAGGGATGCAATGATGGGTCAACATCCACAAATCAACCAATGTGATACACACCTTTAATGAAATGAAGGGTAAAAATCATATGATAATCTCAGTAGATGCAGAAAAAGCATTTGACAAAATTCAACATCCATTTATGATAAAAACTGTCAACAAACTGAGTACAGAGGGAATGTACCTCAACATAATAAAGGCCACACATGACAAGCTCACAGCTAACGTCATACGCAACGGTGAAAAGCTGAAAGATGAGGAATAAAGGCAAGGATGCCCACTCTTGCCATTCTTATTTAACATGTTATTGGAAGTCCTAGCCAGAGCTAGGCAAGAAAAAGAAATAAAAGGCATCCAAATGGGAAAAGAAGAAGTAAAACTGTCACTAATTGCAGATGACATGATAGTATATGTAGAAAACCCTAAAGACTTCATGAAAAAATGTTAGAATAAATGAATTTAGTAAAGCTGCAAGATACAAAATCAATATACAGAAATGTGTTGTATTTCTATACACTAAAAACAAACTATCAGAAAGGGAAATTAAGAAAACCTATTTAATTGCATCAAAAAGAATAAAATATCCAGGAATAATTTAACCACGGAGGTGAAAGACCTGTACACTGAAAACTGTAAGACATTCATGAAAGAAACTGAAGACGACACAAATAAATGAAAAAGTATTCTGTACTTATGGATTGGAAGAATTAATATTGTTAAAATGTCCATACTACCCAAAGCAATCTACAGATACAATGCAATCCCTATTGAAATTCCAATGGCATTTTTCACAGAGATAGAACAAACAATCCTAAAATTTGTGTGGAATCACAAAAGACCCCAAACAGTCAAAGCAAGAGAAAGAAGAAACAAAGCTGGAGGCATCACACTCCCTGATCTCAAACTATACTACAAAGCTATAGTAATCACAACAGTATGGAATTGGCATAAAAACAGACACATAGATCAATGGAACAGAAGAGAGAGCCCAGAAATAAACCCATGCAATATGGTCAATTAATTTACGACAAAGGAGCCAAGAATATACAATGGGAAAAGGACAGTCTCTTGAATAAATGGTGTTGACAGGATAACCACGTGCAAAAGAATGAAACTGGACCACTTACACCATACACAAAAATCGACTCAAAATGGATTCAAGATTTGAATGTAAGACCTGAAACCATAAAACTCCTAGAAGAAAACACAGGCAGTAAGCTCCTTGACATCAGTCTTGGTGATGACTCTTTGGATTTGACACCAAAAGCAAAGGCAACAACAAAAGCAAAAATAAACATGTGGGACTACATCAAACTAAAAAGCTTCTGCACAGCAAAGGAAACCATCAACAAAAGGAAAGTCAACCTATGGAATTGGAGAAAATATCTGCAAATCATATATCTGATACGAGTTAATATCCAAAATAGATAAAGAACTCTTATAACTCAATAGCTAAAAAACCAAACAATCTGATTACAAAATGGGCAGAGGATCTGAATAGACATTTCTCCAAAGAAGACATACAGATGGCCAACAGGTACAAGAAAAGATGCTCAACATCACTAACCATCAGGGAAATGCAAATCAAAGCAACAATGAGATGTCACTTCCCACCTGTTAGAATGGTTATTATCAAAAGTACAAGAAATAACAAGTGCTGGCAGGGATGTGGAGAAAAGGGAATCCTTGTGCACTGTTGGTGGGAACGTAAATTGGCGCAGCCACTATGGAAAACAGTATGGAGGTTCCTCAGAAAATTAAAAATAGAACTACCATATGTCCAGCAATTCCACTTCTGGATATTTATCTGAAAAAAACAAAAACATTAACTCTAAAGATATATGCAACCCCATGTTCAGTGCAGCATTATTTACAACAGCCAAGATATGGAAACAACCTAAGTGTCCATGAATGGATGAATGGATAAAGAAAATGTGGTATATATATATACAATGGAATATTATTCAGCCATAGAAAAGAAGGAAATCTTGCTATTTGCAACAGCATGGATGGATCTTGAGGGCATTATTCTAAGTGAAATAAGTCAGACAAAGACAAATACTGTACGGTCTCACTTATATGTGGAATCTAAAAACAAAACAACTGAGCTCATAGATACAGAGAACAGACTGGTGGTTGCCAGAGGCGGGGGGTAAATGGATGGGCGAAATGGGTGAAGGGGGTCAAAAGGTACAAACTTGCAGTTATAACATGAATGAGTCATGGGGATGTAATGTACAGCATGGTGACTATAGTTAATAACACTGTATTACATATTTGAAAGCTACTAAGAGAGTAGATCTTAAAAGTCCTCATCACAAGAAAAAGAACTTTGTAACTATGTATGGTGACAGAAGTTAACTAGACTTATTGTGGTGATCATTTCACAATATATACAAATATCGAATCATTATGTTGTACATCTGAAACTAATATAATGTTATACAGTAGTCCTCCCTTATCCATGGTTTCTCTTTTGGTTTCAGTTACCTGTGGTCTGAATATATTAAATGGAACATTCTAGAAATAATTCATAAGTTTTAAATTGCACACCGTTCTGAGTAGCATGATGAAATCTCAAGTCTTCCTGCTCTGCCCAACCAGGACATGAATCATCCCTCTGTCCAGCGTATCCACAGTGTATACAGTACCTGTCCGTTAGTCTTAGTATCTATCTTGGTTTTCAGATCGACTGTCATGATATCGCAGTGCTTGTGTTCATGTAACCCTCATTTTACTTAATAACGGCCCCAAAGCATAAGAGCAGTGACACTGGCAATTTAGATATGCCAAAGAGAAGCCGCCAAGTGCTTCCTTTAAGTGAAAAGGTGCAAGTTCTTGATTAATAAGAAAAAAAATCATATGCTGAGGCTGCTAAGATCTACAGTAACTTTTATTACAGTATATTGCTATAATTGTTCTATTTTATTATTAGTTATTGTAGTCTCTTACTGGGCCTAATTTTATAAATTAAACTTCACCATGTGTATGTATGTATAGGAAAAAACGTAGTATATATAGGGTTCAGTACTATCTAGTTTCAGGCATCCACTGGGGGTCTTGGAACGCATCCCCTGTGGATAAGGGGGGACTACTGTATGCCAATTGTATCTCAATAAAAAAACATACACATATTTGGGCAATTAAAAAATAAAAAGAAATTCTGCCATCCCAGATGTTTTTGTACCAAAATGCTTTAAACTGGCAGCAAGGCATTGAGCAAGGGGAGGGGTGGTCGGTCCTCTCTTGGGAGCTACCCTTTGTCTTCTGCTCGAGGGACTGAGCCTTGGGTAAGAGCCTGGCAAACGTCTCCTGGGAGGAGCAAGGTCTAGCCAGACCATCCTTCTACCTGCCTCCTCTAAACATCCCTTCAGGAGCCTCCTCTGAGATGTCAGCTGGCATTTGTGTGCCCTGACCTGGTCCACAGATGCCAGCCACCAAGCCTGGACGTTCCCGGTCTCAGAAGATGGGAAGAGATGAGGAAACCCAAGACCATCAGGGCAAGGCCACATGAACATGGTCCCCTGAGGGGCAGGGATGCCTGTGCCTTCATCCTGTGGCTGGTTCCTTCCTCCCGTTTTGAGGCCCCATCACAGAGTGACACAGAGTGGCCGGATGCACCTAACAAGCTCCGTCTCCTCCTGGTCATTCACACAGACAGTCAGGGCTGGTAATCCAAGCTGACAGCCACTGTCTTATTCATCCTGTTGGGCTTCCAGATGCATCAGACACTTCAATTTTAGAACCAGATCTGCCTCTGAATTCAACTTGGCTTTCGATCTTGTTAAAAATGAGAGGGCTTCCCCTTGGCTCAGCTTAACTGAAGACAAGGTAGAGACACAGCCCAGAATCACGGTGGGTGACAGGGCAAGGCCAGCACAGGTCAGGGCTGAGGCCAGCCACCTACCTAATGGCTGCAGCACGTTGACAGCCCCCTCCTGCTGGAGGCTGAGTACCCTGATGGTGAGGGCCACATGCAGAGGCCTGGCCCTGCATGCTGTGTGCTTACTAGCTGTGTGACTTTGGGCAAGTGACTTAGCATCTCTGGGCTGCAGTTTCCTCATCTGTAAAGTGGGGATGATAATAGTGCCTAGCGCTGAGTTCCTCCATCATCTAGTTGTGAGAATCACATCAGATAATGTGTGTAAAGCACTCGGCAAAGAGCCTGACACATGGTAAGAGCTTCATAAATGCTAGCTGCTGCAACTGGTGACAGTGTGCTCCCATTAGCAAGTCAAAGCTTCTTCATCCCCAAAGCAAAAGGCTATCTTTTGAGGGTCAGAGAAACCACGCTCCAGAGAGTTAGAGGACTGGAGCACGACTGTACCACCAGCAGGGCCAAACCAGCGGGGTTTGTGACTCCCAGCCCAGTGCTCCAGCCACGGGGCACAGCGCCCTCCCTGGGCACTGAGAAGTTTCCCAGACCATGAGAGAGGCAGAGGGCCACTGCGGAGGGGCTGGGGCAGGATCTCACCGGTCAGGGTCATCGCTGAAGAAGTAGTTGACTTCCCCGAAGGTGCCCACATCATTGTCTGTGGCCTGCAAAGGTGAGAACAAGACGTCATTACTGCTAGACCCAGCCAGGGCTCCGATCTCCCCAGGAAACGTCCACAGCGAACTCATGCCATTCTCAAACCACTGTATGGGAGTTGTCCATTCTCCCACACAACGCCTCTGGCCCAGGCCGAATTATCTGAACCCACGCTGTTCACCATGGTTGCCACCAGGTACAAATGGCTATTTAAATTTATACTGGAGAGCGCAGTTCTAGTGGGTTGGTCTTCTATCTAAATCTCTAACTTTGTGGAACCACCCCTCCTGGACTCACGTCAGGCTGGGCAGACTTATTCTCTGCAGATCCTCGGGGGCTGGGAGGAGAGCCCCTGGACCTGTGGCTTGGAGTGACAACCTGTAGGTTTGTGAAGTATCACAAACGGAGGTGGGGGTGGGTTCAGCCGGCTGGTGGATTCTTCGGTGATTCTCTCCCAGTCCCCAAAGCCCCCAAGTCAGATGTGCTACCCAGTCGGGGAGGCCCCTCGGGGGGATTTCTGGTGCCCCTCCCTTCTTTAACCCTGAGAATAATCCATTGCATGCATAGGGCAGACTGTCACCTGGATGACAACCTCTTCTGCTGCAAACAGTCTGCCGCCCACCTCCATCTTCTCTGGCACCTCTCTCTGCTCGATCAAGTGGTCCGAGTGGGAGCTGCCTGCTCTGCCTGTGACCACAGGGACTGGGCTGGGAGGGGCCCTTGACCACAGCTAGGGCCTATCAGAATCCTTCCCTGGGATTCTTCATATTGTTGCTGGGGTAAAAGCTTTCCTCCAGGGCAGTTAAGCTAGGACGAAACTGGCAGCTGCTGGATGTGTGGGGAGGATGAAGGCGCCCCCAGAGGAGAGCTAGGGGAGGAGGGGGGCTGAATCCTGGTAGCTCTAGAGTCCTGAATCTGACAGCCCTTCCCACCGCAGTTTGGTCTGTGAGTCCAACAAGACCTCTTTTACTCAGGCTGGTCCAAGTTGGCTTTCTGTCACTTGCAGTCAAAAGAGACGGGGGAGAGAGGCCTGCCTTATGCTGATGACAATGGCAATGATGGTGACCACGCCAGCCCGCACTATCACGCCTTTTACAAAGACCATCGTGTTTGTTATGACCTCATTTCATCCTCACAACTGTCACAACATGATGAGGAAGACAGACATTTCCACCCATCTCACAGAGCACAAAACTGAGGCCCAGACCCCAGTGAGGCCTGGCGTAACCCTGTCACCCCTCTAGGTCAGGAGCAGGTTACAAGCAGAGTGGGGCAGAAGTTGAGATCCCCACTTCCAGCCTGGGGTTCCTTCTTCAGGCCACCAGAGTGAGACCCCACTCCATCCCCTCCCTTCTCCAGGATGATGCAGTTCTAGTGGAGGAGTGGCTCTTGTGGCTAGGACCTCTGGGCTTCTGCATTGTCACTGGCCTGGTTACAGTCCACAGTGCAGGCTAAATGACACCATTCATTCAATAGTTCCTTACTAAGTATACGCTCCATGCCAGGCACTGTGACTCTGTTCCCTTCCAGGCCAGTGCCCTGGAGCCGGGCAAACTGCTGCCTGCCACCAGATGCCAGGCGGGCAAGGCCTCGATTGACCTTGGGTCCACTTACGTCTATTGCGGGCTTCGCTATAGGGTCATAACTGGATAAAATTGTGCTGCTAAAAATGTTTCAGTATCTTTGTTTGATCTTATATTAATTTTTTAGCTTTATTGAGGTATAATTGACAAACAGAATTCCCATATGTTTAAGGTGTACACCGTGACGATTTGATATACGCAAACACTGTGAAAGGACTGCTCTTACAGGACCCACTTTCCCCTCAGTGTCCCCACTGTTTCTGTCCCAGTAGACTGCATGCGGACCTGTGTCCCTTCCATGGGCCGGCAGGCTCTGAAGACATCTCAGGTTCTCAGGGGACGCATGTGGAATAAGTGGGAAGGAAAACGCTGAGCTATGTACCTGCCCTCCAACCCAGGACCGACTCCGTGAGAGACCCTTCCGGTGCCCTGAGTCATGACTCATGACAACAGCCATTTATCGAGCACCTTACACTTGTCACATATTTTATCTTCATAACAACCCTACGAGTGGGTACTATTATCAGTACGACCTCCAATTTACAGAGGAAGAAATTGAGGCACAGAGAGGGTAAACAGCTCACCCAAGCCTTCACAGCTAACAAAGGGGCAGTGCCAGGATTTGAACCCAGTGCTGTCTTGCCCTGCCCTTTGCCTCTATGTGTTATTGCTTCTAAGCCGAGAGGAATTGTTCTCAGAAGGAAAGGCGCCTGCTTATTCCAGGGGAGAGGAGACCAAAGCCCCTAATAAGCCCTCCTCTCTCCCCACCTTCCAAGGATCAGAGGAGAAGTGGGGGAGCCCCTAAGTTCCCTTCGCTCCACTGATGAATCATCATCACCACCTGTGCTGTTATCAGACCATAACAACTGCAGCTGGGTCTGGGGACGAGCTGACCAGACGCCATCGAGCCCCTTGGTGAGGGGCCAGGGTGGTGAGAGACCCCAGTTCCAGGCCAGTGTCAACAGCCCAGGTCCCTGTGTGACTAGACAGCAACCTCCTGTGGCCTCAGCGTCCTCATCTGTTAATGGAAGGGTTTGGGGGAGTGATGAGGGCAGGGCCGCACCTGCCGGGCTCACCTCCCAGCAGGACGGTGCCTGGCACACAGCAAGTGCTTCAAGAAAGCTTGGAAAATGAATGAACCAATTCTAGTATGAAGGAGTGGTGGAGAGATGGGGGCAAAGATGAGGAGGAGTGAGGATTCAAAGGGAAAGGGAGGAAAGGAGGAAGGGGAAGGAGAGGAGAGCGGCTGGGAAGTGTGGAGGGGTCAGGGGGAAGTGGAGAGGGCTGGGCCTGTGCCCAAACCATGAGGGGGTTCCCTGTCTCTGAAGGTCACATCCAGACCCTGGGAACAAGCCCTTCATATCTGGGTGTCCTACAAAATCGCACATGAACTGTCTGGGCAGGAAGGACCCCTGAGGTCCCCTTGTCCAGTCCCCTTCTGGGGGACTGCTCTCCTCTCCTTCCCCTTCCTCCTTTCCTCCCTTTCCCTTTGAATCCTCGCTCCTCCTCATCTTTGCCCCCATCTCTCCACCACTCCTTCATACTAGAATTGGTTCATTCATTTTCCAAGCTTTCTTGAAGCACTTGCTGTGTGCCAGGCACCGTCCTGCTGGGAGGTGAGCCTGTGTGACTAGACAGGGGCCTGGGGCCTGCAGCAGCTGAGGTCCAGGGAAATTAAGTGATGAGCCCCTGGGGACAAGATGGGACTGTCTTCTCTCTCCAGGCAGATGCTGGCTACCATCCCCCAAGTCCCCACCCCGTCCTCGGGTGGGCTGGGCACAGCCATGGCTCCCTCAGTGACCTCCTTCCCCAGGGGCCTCTCACTGCCCGGCCAGGCTGCCGATGCTGACCAGGGAAGATTTGTGAGTCCTTTAGTGCCACCGTCTAATGACCGTATGAAATATGTATGCCTGGTGAAGAGGAGAGGGAGAACTTTCATTTTTCAAATGCATGAAGCAGAATAATGAGAAGATGAAAAGCTGCTTCTGTGGTCCTACCAGGGTGTGGGCAGCCGGCACCGACACAGAGGGCCTCACCAGGGCACTCCGGCTGGGGCCAAGCTGCAGTGGGCTGGCTTCGGGGCCCTGTGCCCCAGAGGAGGCAGCAAATCTGACCACTGGGCAGCCCTGCTGAAGGCCCTCCAGGGCTCCCTGGTGCCCCCAGGGGACAGCCCCTCCTCCTCTACATGCATTACCCAGCCTGCACCCCGGCCTCACGTCTGACCCAGCTCCCAGACGGACTGACTCTGCCCCTGCGGCTCCCTCTGCCTGGATGGCTTCCTCCCCCTCCCGCCTGGCTGGCCCACTCCTGTCCTCTCTGACTCCCCAGGGTTGGGTTAGGGCTCTGCCCTGCAGGAAATATTCCTGCCCTGACTGCACTGCGGGGCTGAAGCTGTGGGCTGAGGTGTTTCTCATCCACTGGGCTGCGGCTCCCTGAGGGCAGGGCAGGGTCTGGACGTGAAGGTAGCGCAGGAAAGCTCCTGGTATCGCTGTCACCTGTAGCTACGTCTGCATCCACACCCATACAACAGTATTAAAGTATAATGTTTGCTGTTGACCAGACCCTGTGAGGGAGGTACCGTCATAACCCCTGCTCCCGCCTTTAACAAGAGGAGACAGAGACACGATGTTAAGGAACTTGCTCAAGATCTCACAGCTCCTAAGGCAGGGCTGGCCTGCAAATCCCTGCGTTTAAAACCATTTACCACCTCGTGGGACAGCAGAGCGCAGTCCTGTGGCACTGAGGCCCCAGCAGCCCTGCAATGCTGGCTGGCCCAGTAGGGGGCGCTGCTGGGGCCAGCGACGGGCTCTGTCCCAGCCCCACTCGGAGGGTTACGGCACGTTTTAAACCACCTCCTTCCCAAGACTTGCTATGTGGCCCACCAAGTGACAGATCAATGGACCAGTCAAGTGCTGCCATGCTATAGGAAGGAGGGCTTGCGGAGTGGCCAGGGGCCGTGCACAGAGAGCAAATACCCTCCTCATGCCAAGAACACCTCCTCCCTTCGGCCATGTTCTAGGAATAAGCACCTCCGTTTCCCTGCAGGGTGACTTCCAGGGTCTCAGAGGCCAGTCAGATGGCTACAAGGATGGAGGAACGGGATGGCCCCACTGGCTAGGCTGGGCGGCTCTTATATTATACCTGGCGACTCTAAGAAATGCCAAACCAGGGTTCCAGGTGAGCACCACACTGTGCTGCAGGCCCTCCCTCTGGAGCCTCTGTGTCCCCACCACTATTCCACCAGGGCTAGGCTCTCACCCACAGGCACACACTAGTACACTTTATTGCTTGCCCAGACTCTCACAAGAGGCCCAGAGGCAAGAAGTCAAAACCAACGGCTAAAATGATCCTCCTCTGCTCCAAAACCTTCAATGGCTCCCCGCTGTGGCTGAATTAATTCCAGACCAGCACCTGGTGTCAAGGCT